TATAATTTGGAAAGGGAAAACAATTATGAGAAAAGCAGAAGCTTCTCAATTTTGTTCAACTTTAAAGATGCAAAACTACATTTAATAAAATATCGGGGGCGGTGGGGGCTAAAAAATCTGACCAAAAATTGTTTTTATCATCTTTTTGTTGTTCTTGTTGTCCAGGGGTCTGCAACCTGCAGCTCTGAGCCGCAGGTTGCTCCAGAGCTGGTTCCTCTTCAAGCTTTGACCAAAGCTAACATAAAACTGAATTTTATTGGTTGTTACACAAACAACAAAAAATGACTAGTTTTAACTGTTTTCCTGTCATTTCTTTTGAAAATATGTGAATACTGGAAATAGTACAAGGAGTAAAATATACTCACTTTAACTTTATGCTTTATTTCTATACTGGATTAATTTTTCCACAATTAATAAAACGTACATAGGTCTTCATAGTTCATAGTTTTTGTTAATTAAAAAACAACAACCCCCCCCCCCCCCTATATTACAAGAATCTGGTCGTTTCATTTGTTTTAAATTGTAAAAATATAAAGCATTAGATATTTTTAGCTTTATAATGTCACAGGTTGTTGCGGCTCTGAACACTTATAATTTAGTGAATGAAGGCGTAAAAATGGCTCTTTTGATCGTAAAGTTTTCAGACCCCTGATCTATACAAATGAAAAGCACAAGACAACAGTAAATACGTACAGCTGTGACATCAAATGTTTTCTAAACTTTACAAAATTGCAACGTAAGAAACATACTGCAAAAATATTATTCTGAACAAGAATAAGAAGGCCGCGCTTTTTATAGTAGCAGCTTCGTGCTCTCCGTCCATCTTTCGGACGACTGTACGTACATGTTCTCGTTGTAATGATATTAAAGCTTATTCTGATTCTACTGGGGAAGTAAAGATGCATAATTTGTAGTTTTCCTAAGCTTCCTTAAGCTGTGGATATGTTCCATGCTTAAATATGTTAGTTAATATACATGTTCTTAGGTTTTATATATATTTGATTGTTATGCAACATAAACGAAACACAGAACAGTCGTTGGACATTGAAAATTACTTATTTTCTCCACAGAGGTTTAATTATGCTCAGTGATCCAAACAAGGTTTTTATTAAGTAATTAATCACGTAAGTGATGAAAGATTTTGAACTAATTCACCACTTTGCTTTTCAACATAAAAAACAAACTTTAAAAACATGATTTATGTTTAGCTTTCTTAAACAAAACCCTGAAATTTGAGATGCTTAAATATATACTCCTTCCAAGCAGTTTCTTTGTGAAACAACTGAAGGAACATTTCCCACATTTAATTATATAAGCACAGACCTCGTGATTTTCCCAGAAATTTCATTATAGTTTAAGTATTTTATTGTGATAACCAGTTATTTCTCAATCCTCTGCATGCCAAATATCATTTCTGTTGAGGAGAAAATATGACTGAGCCTTTAATAAAACTCTCATACTGCTCATTTTTTGCATGAGCATATAAAGAAACGCTAAAAGCAAGATCAGTGAGTGAGAACAAACTGGCTCCTGACAGCTCAGAGGCTCGCACCACAGTCTGACATCTACAAATCATGCGAACCACGACACTACAGGACAAGATCACTTTGTTGCCACTTAACCAAACTAAAACACATCCGTTCTGTTTAACTGGGACACACACACACTGGATGCTGCTGTGTGTGTTTGCTTGCAGCACACCTCAAGTGTGAAAATGAAGCATGTCAAAGTCATCTTCCCTAAAGCAGACTGCTCCGTTTATCACTCGCCTCCTCTAAGTCAAACATTTCCTTCCAAACGCACTCAGGCCAGGAGAACCTTCAGACAGGAGAACCTTCAGTCAGGAGAACCTTCAGTCAGGAGAACCTTCAGTCAGGAGAACCTTCAGTCAGGTACCAGATGATGCTGGAGCTTCATTCAAAACTCACATTCTTTGGTCCAAATAGAGCACAATAGTTTGCTGGTGGGCTGAAGTGTTTATAGCTCAGTGGATGCTGGGTTGATCAGCTGCTGTTACACACACACACACACACACACACACACACGTGCACACGCCTGGAGAGAGAGCATTTGCAAGGCCTCCATACACAGGAGCTGCACGGGTGAAACAAAAGCCGCTCATTCAGGACAACTTTTATTAAATTTGCGTGAGGTCAATTTTCAAAATGCAAAATGATGAAGGAGGCAGCAGGTAACGGATTTTAACTAACACCAGCTGTAGGTTGTGGAAATTAAGAAAGTCAGCAAATCCATATTGAAACCCCCCAATAGATGTCTCACTTGAGTTTCTTGCATCACTGAGTAAATTTTCACTTTTCACAATCACAAGCTGAATGTTAAAGGTCAGAAATACTCAGTCTAAGTTCTTCCTCCCTACAGATTTTTCAAGCGTAAATGTAAAGCAATGGTTGAGAATAAAACTTCAAATCTGTCTCCAAATGGGAGCATCAGTGTGAAAGGAGGCAAAAGACGGACGACTGGCTCACTCACACACTCTTTGCTTGTCAAAAGAAAAAGAAAAACCTGGAATACAGCATGTGTTCACAATAGGAAAACAAATAAGTCATCTATCTTCAAACATTTTAAATCCAATTTAAGTTCACAGAAAAAAAAAGCTAAAATTAAAAAGAAGATTTAAAAAAAAGCTTCGATTGCTTCAAAAGTTTGCAAAAATGCCCTGTTCCACTTTTATTCTGCACAACACAATCCACAATACACATCTTCACGTTGCCATAATTTACAGAAGAGAGTTCAAAAGGCTTTTTTTTTTCTCTGCAGACAATGAGACGATTGATTCTGGTTCAGGGATGCTGCACGTGAGACGGAGGGGCTGAGGGCACATCCAGCAGACATATGGTTTGTGTTTGCAGAGACAAGAATCAGATCTGCTGATGCACGTCTGGCTGAAAAGGGTGATTGCTAATAAGAGAGTGGGTTCAGGCTAATCATAATTTAGGATGTGGTCTGTAATGAACCCCCACCACCACTGTCACAACTACATGAAGAACCCTCCACTCAAATCTGTAATCTCAATGTGTGTCATTGTTCTTTTGAATGTGTTCCTCCCTGCTGACTGTGTCCATTTCTATGTCACAGAAAAAAGAATCAATGCAATTATTTTAGGAGTAATACTGGACAAATTTTATATTTAAATAACTGAGTGACAGAACTGCAAGCAAGATGTCCATGTCCATGTTTTTGAGGCAAAAATTCAGATTTTCTGTTTTGCATTGTTAACACCCTCCACATGGCTTTAATATGACAGATGGCAGACTTTGATTTTAAAGTTATTTATGAACTGGCAAATGAATCCAAGTCTGTGTTTAATTATAAACAGCCACAATAAACATACAAGCTGCACCAAATGATGCTAAGGAGTAGAAGCTGAAATATTTTATATAAAGAACTTTTTTAACAACAAAACACAAATCTGACTAAATTGTATTATTATTTGTTAGATTGTACATGTTTATTTTAATCAAATTCACCCCATACAGCTACCTTGAAGAGGCGGCAGGGAGACGCACGGGCGCGCACTTTTACCCGACAGATGCGCTCTCTCCTCCGGCAGAGCGACGAGTCTCTTCGGGCTGGCCCGGTTCGTGTGGTTCTGGCCGTTTTCATAGGAGCTCCGGCAGATGTGAGATCCAAACGCGGCTCTCCGCGCACAGATCTCCGCCTTGTTGGAGCCGCACGCGGACAGCGTGAGTCCGGTGAAGTCCGGGAACGTTTGGCTCTGGCAGCGGCTCACCATCCCGGCCAGCGCTGAGGAAGAGTGCTGCATGGATCCCTCCAGCTGCTCACATTCCCTGAAATGAAAACGAATCATTGCAAATGATATATACATATAAAATAACCAGCTTGAAACTTATAGTCCGTGGGAGTGAAAAAGCGCACACCTTCTCCAGTTTGCGCGTAAAAAGTCCAAGAGCGCAAAGCATCACGTTGAACCGAAGTTTGCAAAAGTGATCAACAGCATCCTCTTGAGTCATCAGCATCCCAGAGAGTCCCTCATTCTCTCTTCTCCTTCTTTCAGTGAGACTGACACCCAGAAGCTCCACTGATCTGCGGAGTGCACGCGCGCCAATCAAGTCTGAGTCCGCCGTGCCTCTGTGGGAGGATAAGATCAGTTGATCATACATATACATACATACATATATATCTTTTTTTTTTAATTGTCCACAATATTTTTAGTCAAATGTTTGAGATTGTTCAGTTGTTGTTTTTTTAATTTATTTTAATTAATTTATTTTAATTTACACTAACTAGCTTCGTGATCCCAGGAAAGATGTGACAAACAAAAGTATTTAACTTGTTTAATGAGTAAAATCTTTTTGTCTTTTTGCGCGTGTGGTTTGATGGGGGGCGGGGGGGGAGAAATAAAGAAATAAATACATCCTTTATATGTTGTTTTGTATTACTTTAGTCATTGCTGTCCGGTTTTATTCATAATTCAGAGCCAAAAACATCCCATTTGTAAGGAAACACGGTTCTTTGGCGTCATCTAGTGGCTTTTATGCGGAATAACTTTTAAATAAAGAGTCAGAGTCAGAGTTTCTTTATTGTCGTTCGCGCCACATGTGGTACAGGTGGTGGGACGAAATTATGTACACCGGGTCCCAGTTACATCCAACAACAAAAATGTAAAAGAAAAACAATGATAACATCCAAGATATGACCTAAGAAAAACATAAACTAAAAACACACTAAGCACTAATAGCATAAAAACATTATGTCTAACAGCAGCATGAACATGAGTCTATGTGAGCAGCTGAACATGCATGAACACATCAACATGAAACAGATCAGCAGCAACATTGAAACAGATCAGCAGCAATATGATGTGATTTTTTTCACAGTGATTATTCTGGTTAGATATTCATGAGTCTAACAGCTTCAGGGTAGAAGCTGTTCCTCAGTCTAGTGGTTCCACACTTAATGCTCCTCAACCTCCTTCCTGAGAGAAGCAGGGCAAAAAGTGTGTGTGCTGGGTGAGTGGGGTCCTTCATGATGCAGGTGGCTTTCTTCCTGCATCTGGAGGTGTAGATGTCTGTGATGGTGGGGAGACTGACTCCAACATCTTCTGTGCAGCCTTCACCACTCTCTGCAAAGCTTTTCTTTCTGCAGCTGTGCAGCCTCTATGCCACACGTTGATGCTGGAGCACAGGATGCTCTCCACTGCACACCTGTAGAAGGAGGTGAGGACTGAGCTTCCCAGACCAGCTCGCCTCAGCGGCCTGAGGAAGTAGAGTCTCTGATGAGCTTTCTTGATCAGGCTGGTGGTGTTGTTGCTCCAGCTGAGGTTGTCATTCATGTCCAAGTACTTGTAGCTGGAGACCACTTCCACCGCAGATCCTCTTATGTTGATGGGGGTGTAGGTGTGTTTGTTCCTTCTGAAGTCCACAATCATCTCCTTCATCTTCTTCACATTGATATGAAGGTTGTTCTCCTTGCACCAGCTCTCCAGGTGTTCCACCTCTTGCCTGTAGCTGGACTCATCATTGTTTGTGATGCATCCCACCACCGCTGTATAATCTGCAAACTTTACAATTAGACAGCCTGGATGGGTAGCTGCTGCACAACCATACGTGAGCAGAGTAAACAGGAGAGGGCTCAACACACATCCCTGAGTAATCAGATCACTTTAACGTTAAAACCGCAAAACATACTTTAAAAGATTTTAAGGTGTAAGACAGAGGGATTATTATTGTTATTATTGTTGTCATTGTTGCTATTATTTATATTATCTTAAATCTATGTAATGAAGTTGATAAATAAAATAATTGTGTTAAAGACATAGGTCTGCCATTTATACCACATTCTGTGTAGAAGAGAATACCTGAGGGAGATTGGGGACTGTATGGTTGTGGCAGGGGAGAGCATGGCCATCAGATGGTTATGTGTGGAATGACAGTTGTGAAGAGATAAAAAGTAAAATCAGAGAAGAATACCAAGGTGGAAGCTGAGGAAAGGAGAATGTTGTGAGAAATTCAGAGAGGAGCTGTTAAAGGCTCTGGGTGGTAAGAAAGAGCTTCCAAATGACTGGACTACTACAGCAACAGTAATTAGAGGGACAGGTAGGAAGGTACTTGGTGTGTCATCTGGACAGAGAATGGATGATAAGGAAACCTGGTGGTGGAATGGTGAAGTACAGGAAGCTATTCAAAGAAGGAGGTTAGCCAAGAAGAAATATGACTGGACTGAAGAGAGGAGACAGGAATATAAGGAGATGGGACATAGAGCAAAGAGGGAGGTAGCTAAGGCAAAGCAGAAGACGTATATAGAGTTGTATGGGAGACTGGACACTAAAGAGGGCAAGAAGGACTTGCACTGATTGGCAATACAAAGAGATAAGGCTGGAAAGGATGTGCAGCAGGTTAGGCTTGTTAAAGATAGAAAGGAATTGTCATATTCTAACACGCGAGGAGAGTGTGACAGGAAGATGGAAGAAATACTTTGAGGAGCTAATGAATGAAGAGAATGAAAGAGAAAGAAGAGTAGAGGTCATAGAAACTGTGGACCAGGAAGTGGGAAAGATTAGCGATGGTGAAGTTCAGAAAGCTCTGAAAAGAATGAAGAAGGGGAAGGCAGTAAGACCTGATGACCAGTGGAGGTTTGGAAATGTCTTGGAGAGATGGCAGTGAGGTTTTTGACTCAAATATTCAATGGCATGTTTGAGGGTGAGAAACTGCCTCAGGAATGGAGATGCAGTGTGCTGGTGCCCATTTTTAAGAACAAGGGTGATGCACAGAGTTGTAGCAACTACAGGGGAATTAAGTTGATGAGCCACACGATGAAGACCTGGGGGAGAGTTGTGGAAGCAAGACTTAGACGAGAGGTGACTATTTGAGCAGCAGTATGGTTTCATGCCAAGAAAGAGCACCACAGATGCCATATTTGCTTTGAGGATGCTGATGGAGAAGTACAGAGAGGGTCAGAAAGAACTCCATTGTGTCTTTAGAAAAAGCATCTGACAGGTGCTGAGAGAGGAGGTGTGGTATTACATGAGGAAATCTGGAGTGGCAGAGAAGTATGTTAGACTGGTACAGGACATGTATGAGGACAGCAGGACAGTGGTGAGATGTGCTGTTGGAGTGACAGATAGCTTCAAGGTGGAGGTGGGAGTGCATCAAGGATCGGCTCTGAGCCCCTTCTTGTTTGCTCTGGTGATGGACCGACTAACAGATGAGGTCAGGCAGGAATCCCCATGAACTATGATGTTTGCAGATGATATTGCAATTTGTGGTGAGAACGGAAAACAGGTGGAAGAAAACTTGGAGAAGTGGATGTATGCACTTGAAAGAAGAGGAATGAAAGTCAGCCGTAGTAAGACAGAGTACATGTGTGTAAATGAGAGAGAGGCTGGTGGAACAGTGAGGCTACAAGGAGCAGAGGTCAGAAAGGTGCAAGACTTCATGTACTTGGGCTCCACTGTCCAGGAACATGGGGAGTGTTGTAAAGAGGTGAAAAAGAGAGTCCAGGCAGGATGGATGCATGATTACTGAATGGAGAACTTGAAAACAGAAAACTGTAAATAGTGTAACAAATCGAGCAAAGAACCATAATGCTGACCCTTTATTTTAGTTTGTTTAGTCTAACGACAGTATTTTCCTTCTCATCCACTCTGATTTGAATATTGTACCTGCATGTCTTTCTCCTCAAAACTACAGAAACTGATTCAAAATAGGGAGTTATGAGCTTGAATGACTTTGTTGTGAAAATAAAAACATGTAATTAATCATTTATCAAAAGAGAAGTCATGTAGAACTTCTCAACATTTAAAAGAATGTAAAACACATGGACAGACTTGAGAGAGTACTTCCAATTCTCATTAGAAAATGTTTAATGCACCTTGACAGCTGATGATTTATTTAAAGCTTAAATGACAATTCGGTTGTTTAGGATGGTTTGTTGCCAAATAAATTTCAAAATAAGAACAAAAAGTTATATTTATCAAGATCAAACTGTTGTTGAGCTGCTGAATTAAAATTCGTAATAATTAAATAATACTAAAACTTCTTCTTTTCTTTTCTTTTCTTTTTTTGCCAGTTCTGTTATATTGCCTGGAGCAACAGACACTAGCGAGTCATCAGGTTGAGTTTGTTTTAATTCCAAGAAATCAAATCCTGAGGGGATATCTCTCACACTACATTTCAGACAAGTCCGAACAGGGACAGCACTGAAAACAAAAACCTAATGGCAACAGTTGTTCCCAGAGTTGGTACTGTGTGTACTGGTTTGTCCTGCCTTTGAATCTTGTACAACACTTAGAATTACTTCAGATGCAACAGCTCACTCCTTTGTTTTACTGCAAGGAGAAGAACTGCCGGGACATGTCTCTGAGTGATTCAGGTGCAGTCAGGAAGAATGATGGAGATAGTCATTAAACCTGGAGCGCACATTATCATTAGTGTCTCCATAAAACTAAAAAGTTACTGATTTTCATGACATATCTTAAAGTAAGCACTTAAAGTTGTCTGAATTCTCAAATATTCCTTTATTTTTTTTTTGTTGTCTTTTTTTAAATAATTCACATAAATAGGCAAAACAGATACAACAAAGAAGCTTGCAGGCTTTTATTAAAATTGAATATTTGTAAAAGCAGATAACCACTGTTGAATTCAATTTTGCCTCTGCTCCTGGTGTGAAAACTTAAATAAGGAAACGATGCAACACAGCATCTCTGGTACAGCTCTAAACTGAAAACTGTCACCCACTGCAGAGTAACTTTACTCACTTCATCTCAAGTTAAGTTGTAAGAACCTGCAGAGTTAGGTCAGTGGACTGAGAATAAAGCATCCTGATAACTTTAGCAGCCACTAAGTCAGA